TCTTGCTGTGTCCCCCCCCAAAAGAGAATGCTGTGTACATGCTGTGCAAACACAACTACATCAAAGAAACAAAATAATTTCTCAGTCTGTACTAAATCCCTCCAAATATTGTTAGCTTACAGCTCAGTTCAAGAGAGATAAATGCAGTGTGTGCTTCCTGAGACACTGAAAATAAGCTATGAAATCAACAGGCAGGATAAATCCATCCCTTTACACACTTCATACTCAAGAAGTAGCCTAGATGCTAAACACGCATCAGCTTTGTGCCTGAAGACACTGCTTACGTTTACGCTGGGTTCTTAATCCTTGTAAAATCATTTCATATTGTATAGATCTGTTTGGGTGTATTTTTCGTCTGTCCATCAATTGCTTAATGTATTCAGACTTCACAGGCTCAATTAAGTCTGACAATCATATACCAATTTTCTAAGCTTATTTTTTTTCAGTTACTAAGTGGTTCTAAGTTTGCCCTTTTATATAATAATAAACCATAATTTTATATTTAGTGGACATCTCAATATGCAATTATCTGTTTGCACAGCCAATTAAAAGTGTTGTCTTCTCAAGACATGCCTGAGAAACATCGCACTGTTCCATAAAAAGCTGCTGTTCAAGTTACAAGTGCTTCTGAGTGTTCACTTTTTAATGAAGCTTGCTTCCAGGCACTGCTCAGTGTGCTAAACATTCAGCGTGTTAAGATATTTTCAGTGTCTAGTGGCTCTGAATGTGGAAGAAATTAGAAAAAAACATGGGAAAAGCATTTAAAGATATTTTCCAAGCTAATATTGAGACCTAAATTTTGGGGTTTTGTTTTTTTGGCTGGTGGCTAAAATGATAAATGATAACATCCCTTTTCTTTAAAGGAAGCATTGACTATGATGAATTATTAACCCAGAGACAGGAAGACCAAGCAGTATAACTGAAGAAGGCTATGTGGAGGTGTGAGCAATTAAAGAGGAGGGTTATGGTATTTCATTTGCAGGCTGAAATACAACTGCAACTGCCTACAGTTAGAGTTGATTTTTACTGAGCTCAGCTTCTGCAGTATGGCCTGAAGAAGGTCTGTGCAGACCTCTTCACTGCTTCCCAAATGGGAGGAATGCATTTGGAAAGCTTTTTTTTGGAGGGAACAGAGCAGGGATGGAAGGGTTCTATCCTGACTGAATTTCCATGTTTGCATTGTGGTGTTCACTTAAAACTGCATCTCTTTATTGCACTGTCTCATTTTGAACTTTTAGCTATAAGGAAGGAAGAACCAATTCTAAACAGATAATATCTCAACAATGTTCTGAGGATGGCTCACTTGTCAGGAGCTTAATGACAAATGCAGCGTATGATAGCAGAAGTGTGGAGAAGATAGGGTAAACATTGTCCTTTCTTTGAAGCAGTATAATCTGTTTGAAGATAGTGGTTTAGGTGTCTTGGCTACTTTCTTGAGGTTGTTTCTTTATGCTGTGGTGTTTACAGTCTGTGAAGTTTGGTGTATTCAGGAATGTGGGTACCTGCAGCAGACTTCCTCCTACCTTTGTCTGAATGCCAGCGTGGGGCTGTTCCCTTAATTGCTGAAATAGCATTTTTTAGAACTGACAGTGGTGTCAGCAGCTCAATTCTGGCCATACTGTCTCTTTACAGGGAACAAGTCTGTGATTTGCACAAATGCCTAAGTTAACTCAGCTATACCAGCCACACCAAGTAATCGCAGTGTGTCACAGAAACAACCTATCTTCATTAGCCTTTCAGCTTAGTTACATGAGGGTTTAGGATGCCCTCATGTAACTGAACTTAAATACATCACTGTTAGTCAGGACTAAGGGAACAAATTGTATTGTGGTACTGTTTTGGGGTTTTATTTTTAAATCAATATCACATGGCATCCTACCATTTTAGAACTGAATTTGAAATTACCCAGTGGATCTAAAGTTGTCACTAAAATTGATGGGAGTTACCTATTTTGATCCCTTTTACACACACGTGTGTGTATATATATGCGTGTTTATGTATGTGTGTGTATATATCTGTGTGTTTCTGCATATATATACCTAGAAAACAAGATAATGCCTTTATTCCTGGCATGTCTCTAATCCTGAATTCCTGAATGCATTGGGGTTTGGGTTTTGTTGTTAGTTAGTTTGGTTTTTTTTTGCTTAATATGTACAAAATAGGAGCTTCACAAATGCTTATTTCTCTGAAAAGGGAGTCAAGAGAGTGCAAGGCAAGGGACTGACTACAGGATTGTACCTAAATCCAAGGATTTGGGCTTGATACCTTCAGCCTAGTGTGACACAACAATTCCCTGTATCTGTGCCACCCATCTGTGCTTTAGTATTTTTGCCTTTAATACGGGCCTGTCTTCTTACAGTTGTGTCTCGGAGTGTAAATCAGCTGAAAGCAGGAAAATACTAAAGGAGGAATTAAAAAATACTGGAAGAGCAGTAGTAGTTTGAATAACACTCAAGAAGTTCTATATTCTGTAATGTGTTAAAAATGTCTAATGCACTAAACTTGATTTTTTAATGATTTTAAAAAATAATGTGCGTTTTGTGACTTAGAAAAGAAAAAAAAACCCAAAAAAGCTCCATCATCATCATCACTTGGGCAGAGACAGCAGTGAGTTTGCTTTCCATGCTGCACCTTTTGTTCCCCAGACCAGAAGGGAATGGCAGCAATGCGGAAGCCGCAGTTTAGCTCCTGGGCACAATGGGATCCTTAATGCCAATTAAAAGGCAGACTTAATGACTACCAAAAGCAGCCCCCGAGCCAGGCCTCCTTAGCTAAAAAAAGATGGGAAAGCAACATGTTGTAGGAAATGATGGAATTTTGAAAATCCCGTAAGAAACAGGGAAACACCCTTTGCTTTCCCTCCTGCATCGACAGCTTTCATTCTGCTAAAAGGGAAGCCATATAAAGATACAGAGGAGTAACTGGTACAGCTGCCCCATTCTGAAAGTGGCTTTTAGCTAACTGGGGGATTGTTTGTGGTCAGTGTGTTATTTCTGACTAAAATGGCACTTCATAAAAAGAACAAATTGTTGGCAGCCACTGCTCTTTGAATTCTATTTCTATTCCTAGTCTCTATTTCTGTTACTCTCAGTTGCTTTTCTCCTAACAAATCAAACTTCAGGATTGCAGCAGGAAATTTAGATTTAACCTCAAGAGTCAATGTTTTGTCTCATGTCTGCTCTAATGTGATGCAGATGTTGGAACTGCTGTACGTAACCCAAGATTTTATTGAACTAGCCCTCCCTGCCTAATAGGAAACATAGCTAACCGGGGTGCACGTTAAACACAGATCGCTCTGAAGGTACTAAGCGTGGGAGTTTGAGAAATATAGCTACGAAATTATTTGGATATTCCTTCAGTTGCACATCCTTCAGCTGTAGGATAAGGAGTTTCTGCCATGGTAAAGCATCAGGGTTCTTTATCTTACTTGTTCTAAAAAGCAAAAATGTGATACCTGAAATTGTTTACAGGCTGGATATTCTCTTTTCCCTCCCAGTTCTTTGATTCCTTCTCTATAAAAGACAAACAGAAAAAATGGAGAAGTAGATGATCTCTTGTATCCCTTTTTACTGCTCCTGTTTTCCAGCAACCCTCATTTCCACTATTCTTGCTTGGTTTTTGAGTTTTCCTTCTCTTGAGTTGCCAGCGTGGCCCGAGCATGCTAAACACTTGGGTATGTCTTTGATGAGGACCGAATGGTAAACACTGACGTTTCTCAAGACTCTGCTATGCCATGTTAGCCCCAGTACAAAGTCATCTGAAATGAGTTCTTTCCTCTATTAGTTCTTATTTTTCCTTATTTCCAATAATTGTTTCTAATGATGAGATTAAAGTTTGCTACTTTTCTATACAAACTGTGCACTATGTTTCTTAAATGAGATTTTTTTTAAGGTAAAACCAGAAGGTTTACAACATCAGAGTGCTTTACTTGCCCATAGCAAAATAGGAATTCTGTATTAATGTAGCGCATCAAAACAATCCTCATGTCTTTTAATACAAAGACCGGGCAGAAACATGTTACTTAGAGCAATCTCCAAGCAGCAAACAGACCAGAGAAAAGCCCTTAATACACAAAAAATAGGGAAAAACCCCACAAACCAGAGTTCTGCATGGAAACAGAGATTAAGATATGATAAGAATAGATATATAAGTCTTGTATATCTTTTCACCCAGTTAGGCTGACTGATACTGTGGCTTTTTTGTTTAAACCTTGCACTTCCACTTCTTGCTGGAGGACTTCTTTGACCCTTAAGTGGACCAGTGTGGGTGTCAGACAGGGTGCAACTGGGTCTTCTGGCAGCCCTAGGGCTGCTGGCAGCTGTATTGGTAATACCAGCCCTGATGCAGATAGACACAGTATTAGCAAAGGCAAGTTACTTGTTCTGTGTGGGTTCAAGCTGAGCTCCAGAAAGGTCACAGCTGTATTAAAAAAATGTAGTAAAGCCCCTCACTGATTCAAATTATGGCTGTATCACAGAAATGAACTCATTTCAGCTGCTGTATCAGTAAAGCAGATCTTTAGTTGAACCTTAGTATATTGAACTATAAACCTGTTATTTCCCCAGTAATGTGGGCAGCTCTGTTTGAGATTAATTGCCTTTATATATTCCACTGCAAGGTTTTTGTTGGGGTTTCTTTCCTATATGAACAGAGAGCAGCTTATGCAAAATGGGGCTATGCTGTTTCTTGGGCCCAGCAGAGGAACCTGTATGACAAATAGTTGATCCTACCTACTAACTACATCAGAATTAAAAAAACGTCACTCATTACGCAGGAAAATCAGTACCAGCTACTATTTCTAGCAGTTAACTCTTGGAAGAATGAGGAGGGTTTCATTATTGCCTAAAGCCTCCAAACTCAGTTTGTATCCAGTAATGAGTACAGGAATACCGAGTCATTTTTAAAATAGCACGCTAATTCTGTTACCATATGAGAAAGCTCTGAGATGATCAGTGTAGCAGAACTGTCTCTCATTACATATTGATCTTTTTCTCTTCCAGGTTTCAGTTTATTTCTTTCATTTCCACAAACACTATACAACATTTACAGGTAAGTGAATTAGCATTAAATGAATTCTATTCCCTCCCATTTAATTACGTATATTTAATGGTTTCCTCACTTGAATAATAAATGTAATGCTTGAAGTAGCCTAGCTTCTTTCAGCCAGATGCTGTCCTGATAATGTAGTAAAGGGTTTTCTGGTCAATTTTTTGAATCTGAGTGGTTTCTTTTCCATGTTTGTAACTCCTTTTCCCTTTACTTGCCATTCTCCAGGCAGTCTCACACTGATGAAAGCTCTGTAGTTACAATCAATCCGTTTTATTTGCAGTCAAATGTGACTTTAACTTCTACCTGCGCTAGGTGAAAGTCTGTACCTGATCACCCTGCACTCCATGAACTACTTTCTTGTCTTCCAGACCCTTCTGTAAAACTCTCCTCTGTATGAAGTCTGCACATAATTGCTGTCAGATACAAGCTAGACAGGTGGCAAGCTGTGATTACATCTCAGTGCTGGCTTGCTGCACCTAGGAATTTTATACATGGCTAGTTTATATTCTGATGGCCTATTTTCATTAATGCTGCCTGCATTGCACTGGTATTTGCTAGCTCATTTCCCTCATCTGTCACATCAGGTCTCTCAGGTCCTAAGTGTCCTGGAGGAGGGACTGTCACTGCCTGTCTTCAGGAATTAGTGGAAATTAATATGAAGATTTAAATTTTAGCAAGACTATAAGACAATAGCACATCACTCCTACACAGCCCTTTTCATATTGCAGTTAATAAAAACATGAATTACCCCATTTTGGGGCAGGAGGAGTGGAGAGCCAGGAGACGTGGGGCAGGAAAGGCTGAGGACTGGCAGAAAGGCTGAGCAGCAGCATGAGGGGGCTAGTGACCAGTGATGCAAGGGACTCTGGTTCAGGGAACACTGGGAGAAGGAGGGAAACACCATGGGCATGGCAGTCCATGGCAGTAGCAGCGTTTAACCAGTTGAATATTTAGTATTTGCTTTCTTTTCTCTCATGTCAGGACTTCTTAGCGTTTTCCTCTCCAAGTCATCATTCGACACAGTTTCTCTCAGCCTTTCCGGTGGGTTTATGATTCCTCTGAACAGAAGGAGCACAGTAATTTTAAACATCTGGTCAGGTTTGCTTAAAGGATGCACACACAAGCTGTTTGGTGATGAGGGATTTGAGTTTTCCAGTCATCCCCTCAGTTTCCTCATCCTGCTGCCTGTCCTCAGTTGCTGTCTTACCAGAAGGATATTCTTTTTTTGAATGAGAAATATATGAATTGTCTTTTTTGTCTAGATGTTTCTACAAATACAAGTGTTCAGATTTTAAACAGGACATTTCCTAGTACACAGAATTGCTCTTCTGAGCTATTTGTATGAAGAGATGGTTCAATGGTAGTGACCTTTAATAAATTAAACCTCCTACTCCTTTTATAATCTCTGAGTTTTGCCTGAGTGAAAAAGATGCAAGATACACAAAAGAGCCGTTCATTTTAGAGTTATCTTTTTCCTAGCTGACAGAAAATAGCCATTCACTACCTTTAATAGTACTACCTTTAGAAGACAGCTTAAAATAGCCAAGAAAACACAATGAATCATAAATTTTCCTGTACTCTAATTAGCAAAAAAAGGCTCCCCTTTAGGCTACACTTTGGCAACACTACAGGATTGTTTGGCAGCATCACCTGAAGATCTAAACAACAGCAATGTGTGCCAGCCCCAGCCACGTGCTTGACTCTGCTGCCATTGAAAACATGGGGGATGTTGAGGGAAGTAATTCAGTGTCGCACGTCAGAAGTTTCATCCTCTAAAAAGATACATATTTTGAATTCACAGCAAGCCTGCATGCTGTGCATTTGGATGACAACTAAAACAGAGTACTGCAGCTCACTTTGTGTTAAGCTTAGCGGTCCATTGCCAGGCAATGATGAGTGTGTGGAGCTGACCAGAAGCTATAGGAATAAACCAATATAATTTTACTCCAGAAACAAATGTTACTTGAGTATCCTACAATTTCTCAGAAAATACCTGGGTATGCAGCACATTTGCACAGGTAGTTCTTGTGCTTCAGGATGAATTCTTGGGCTGAGTTTAGTTCCTGGGCAGAAATAGAATGGATATATTTTCTTACTCCATAAAACCATTGTATTTATTTACAGAGCACATTTGAAGAAAACACTGAGGAATAACTCGTTGTATGAAGGACTCCTACCTCTTGTGTCACCTCTGTTGCTGTTCATGCTTCTTACAGTCTGGGTGGCTTTATCTCCAGTCGACGTATTAGCAAAGCAACCAAGATTGTTTTTATGGATGGTTGGGGTTGCTTTCTCAAACGTTATTGTAAGTATGTTTATTAGTGGTGGTGGTATTATTTAGAGACTGCTTTGACTTTTACGTGAACAAAGAGAAGGAAACAGAAACTGCAGCTAAAACTGAGCAGAATCACACATTTCTCCTACCTCTGAGTAGACTGCAGTTTATTAGGCAGTAAGTGCAATGCATATTCTTTAGGACTTGTTTTTTTCTTTTACCAAAACATCTATTGCAGCATTAGAGGCTCATGTGAATTAAAAATGTATGTGTGTTAGCTGAAATTTTCAACATTTTAGAAGCAAGCATTAAAAATATATGGGTGTTAGTTAGGATTTGTAGCATTTTAAAAATTAAAACCAAGACTTTCATTTCCTCTGGTCCTTTATACATGTTTCCTCCAGTATCAGAGTAAGGCATAACAGTGCTTTTCTTGTCCATGATAGTCTAACCCTGGGTTTCCATTTTCTACTCTGTAGACTACGAATTGCAAGACGCTCAGACCTCTACTTTGAGATTAACTCATAGAGCAAGTCTCAGAAATATCCAGGTCTGAGCAAACCACCACAGCACAACTGTCACAGCTCCCACTTAGGAAGCCCTCAGGGGCACATGTTTGGGTCCAGGAGGAGGGGATGTAGTGGGTAAGTAAGTCCCGCAAAGGGGACTTTCAGCCATTCCTGTAACAGGAGCACAGTGGATGACGTCGTAGCTGGCTGACGAGCTGAGACATCTCAGACACAGGAGATACTTTATTAGGAGCCTCCCAGGGGAAGACGGCAAGAGACAATACACTAAGGATCTACTGGGAGCACAGACCACAGCTGCTAGAGGTGTAAATTCAGCACAGCCAGGGTAGCATTGCAAATGATAGGTGAGGTAGATGGAAAAGTGCACCCCACCCCAAGGGCATAGTCCTATAGCCTTACCTCTTCTTTCCAGTCTGCCTCTCCAGACTCCTGTGCTTTCATCTCCTAATACTGTTTTTGCCTCATTTGTAGTGTCAGTCAGTGCTTCAGGACCAGGGGGAATAAGGAATTGAGGGAGGAGCACGGAGTATAGTCCCATTTTGCAGTCCTGTGATACACTGAAGGTGAACTGCTCCAAATACTAATAAGCAATTGAATTGAGTATTGTACTTCACATGTGTCCTGGGTTCAGTAGTAGCAGTCATTTCTTCCTCCTTCTTAGTAGCTGGTGCAGTGTTGTGGTTTTGACTTTCGGCCTGGGAATGGTGCTGATAGCACCGATGTTTTTAGTTACTGCTCAAATGTTTAGACTGGCCGAGGACTTTGTGAGCCTCATGCTCTGCCAGGGAGGAGGGGAGGCTGGGAGGAAGCAGAGACAGGACACCTGACCCAAACTGACCAAAGAGGTATTCCATACCACAGCACGTCATGCCCAGGGTGTAACTGAGGGTTTCCTGGAATGGCTAGGGCACTGCGGGGTTGGATGAGGTATTGGTGGGTGCTCAGTCAGGCTGGGGGGAGCGAGTTATCAGTCAGTGGGTGCTGAGGTGTTGTATTCTCTTCCCTTGTTATTTCCCTTATCATTATTATTGGTGGTAGCAGTAGTGATTTGTGTTATACCTTAGTTACTAAACTGTTCTTATCTCAACCCATGGGAGTTGAATTCTTTTGATTGTCCTCCCCATCCCTCCAGGAGCAGGGGGAGGGCAAGGGGTGTGGGTGGGGGTAGTAGAAACTGTGTGGCTGACATGCCGACAAGGCTTAAACCACGACAACATGGTGTAATAATGGTTAAAAAAATATGAAATCCAGCCTCTGGGTGGGTGCAATTATTCAGCCAGAAAAATTCTAGTGTACAGATTGCTTTCTCAATTTCTGACTCCCCCTGCAATGATTCCCAAAGCACTCATAAAACCAGTATTATTAAAAAAAAAAATCAAAATACTGATAATGCTTTGTAAGAAGAGCTATTGACACCAGGTACCAATGCTCACTTCTTGCATTACTGAAAGGTAATCATGTTTTTATGGCTTATCTTTGCATTCTTCAGCTTCCACAGCACAGACAGTAAAGCCAGTATTTTTTTGCCTATGGTCAGACTCCTCCTGCTGCTGTCACAGGGTTTCAGGCACTGCACAGGAATGAATTTTTCACTCTTCTATAGCTTTGAGAAAGCATAAAATCTATTTTTAACCACATTTAAACTCTAAGTGAAACTTAAATTGATAAAATATTTCACCTGTCTAAATACATTTTTGGTTTTTTGGTAAAGGAGATGAGAAACATGAGACACATTTCTTAAGGAGTCTAAACCAGGTAAAACACCCACATGTGCTTAAATGGTTTTTAAAATGTGAACTTTGGCTGAGTTAATCTCATTACGTTTCAAGAATTCAGTAAAATTAAGCTAATTCCTTTCGGTTAAACCATGCACCATATATTGTATTCATTTTTTTTCTGCTTTTCTGAATGGGATCTTTTACTTTGGGCCCCCAGCTCTACCTCCAGGGAGTCCACTGCCACGTTTGAGCCAAGGAAATGGTGGTTTAATACATAGAGAAGTGCTAGAAAAGAAAACCAGGATTTAAAAGTGGCATATATTACCTTCCCTCCCTTCTATACAATGAATCAGAATGTATTTCTGTCACACCATCTCACTGAAATACCAATACACTCTCACAGTGATTAAGTGGCGGCACATTTGATTTGGGATCACAACTTCATGAGCCCGTGTGGAAGCACAAGGTAGCAAACAAATTCCCTTTTTGTAAATATGTGTTTCAGCTTATAAAATGAAGCGTGTCAAAACACTGTCTCCAGGAAAGAAGTGTGTATGTTAAATTATTTGTAATGAAGTCCTTTAAGACTCTGGGGGGATGCTTTAGAGCAGCCTTCCACTACCTAAAGAGGGCAGACAAGAAAGCTAGAGAGGAACTTCTTAAAAGGCATGTAGTGACAGGACAAGGGAGAACAGATTTAAACTGAAAGAGGATAGATTTAGATAAGATATTAGGAAGAAGTTCTTCCTTGTGGTGGTGGTGGTGAGGCCCGGGAACAGGCTGCCCAGAGAAGCTGTGGCTGCCCCATCCCTGGCAGTGTTCAAGGCCAGGTTGGGTGGGGCTCCGAGCACCTATGGGTGAGGTGCCCATAGCAGGAGGTTGGAACTGGATGATCTTTAAGGTCCCTTCCAACCCAAAACAATCTGTGATTCGATGCTGACTCACAGACAGGCACAGAGGTATATCTATAGTAGTCTTCTCACCAGAAACAAGCCCCATTTTGAACTCTAGCTTTGTTTTCCTCGTATCAGAAGCAACACGCAGAGAAAACAGATGTGGTTTTACCCAGACCCTGGACTAACCCAGTTCTTCTCACCTGGCTCTTTGTTCCGACAGTGCAAGGTGATCATCTGCCAGATGAGCAGCACCCAGCCGGAGCTTTTCCACTGGTTCCTTTTCCCGCTGGCACTGGTGGTCTATGCAGCCATCTCCGGGCTGCTGGGCTGGATGGAAGAAGCCGTGCTCGCTGTGTTCACTGTGCTGGTCACGGCTGCCCATGTGCACTATGGGGTCTGTGTGGTGAGTGGCTATGGGAGAACTGCACTGAGGTGGGGAGGAAGATGGGGTCTGGGAATGGTTTCTATCTAGCTGGTGCAGTGATGTGGGAGTCTGGATGCTGTTACGGTTGGGTTGTTTTTAACATGTTTTGTTTAGTCTAAGGTTTAAAAGTCACTTTATTGCAGGCAGCGCCTTCTCACACATGCAGAAACTTCAGTGACTTACATTATTCAGTGTAGCTGACTGGTTTTGGCTTTAAAGCCATCACAATCAGAATATTTATGGGCTGTTTTTTAAGCAGTGGTTGACTCATGTGGCATGAATGATCCCATCTCTTTTTTCTCTTTCTTCTTCCTGAGGTTATTTGACAGAAAAAAAATAGGAAGGTAAGATGCAAAGTGCCAGGAATAGAATTCATAAAATCAGGTTAACTTTGCTTTGACTCTGCAAGCAAAATAGTTGTCCCAATTTCTAATCTTTTATTGGCCCTCTGTTAGCATCTTTCAGCCTGGAGACATGAATGAGACATTCGGTTTTAGCAATGCATTTTTGTGCCTGCTAGGTATCAGTTTTGTCATTTATTGTCATCTGAATTACTGCTGAAACTGTTTCCCTCAGATAATGCCCTCTTTTTTGAAGAGTATTGTCAAACTATCCTTAGGAAAGTGTCTTAATGGAGGGGTTGCTTTTAGATGAACCACGTTGCATGGGAAAGGTCTCATTTCACAGGAAGTTTGTCAGCATTTTTTTATTTGAGATACACCCCTGGGATATAAGGATTTTTCTTTGAAAGAAGACTTTTGTTAGCAGACATCAGCATCATTGTAGATTTTACCTCAGCATCAATACAGACCAGTTGGTGGAGGTCAGAATGGATACACCTCATCAAAATTTGCTATTGACTGAGGTGGCCTAGCTCCATCACAGTTTATGTCATCTGTGAATCTGGTCCATAGCGACTTGACTTCGCTTCCCATCAGTGTGCTGCAAGAGAAATGTAAAGACCACAGCTCCTTGTAGGTCCCTATGTACTTGAAGGTCTCCAGGTATCCAAGGAATGTGGTCAGGTTCTCCTCTTTCTGACCAGAAGAGAGATGTTGAATTGTGAAGCATATCAAAACTGGTTGCTAATCTCTGCAATTCTTCTTTAGGGCAGGCAGCTGAGTGAGCACTTGAATATTTACATCTTTTCCCTGAAGAAACGTGTCCAGGAGTGAACACCTGCACTACGATCAGACTGTAATACTTGACATGGAGATTTGCAACTCTTCTGATGTGATACATAGTTGGAATTAATCTGATTAAAATAACCAAAGAATAGATACATCCGGGTATCTGAACCACTGCGACAATGAGCTATGCAGCAAGATGCTTCATCTCAGAGGAAGGTTCCTGTCCAGCAGAGAAGTGTTTACCAAGTTCTTCTGCTCTAATATTCTCTTCAGCAATGTTATGTTACTGCCCTCTCTGAAGCTTTTGTCTTCCTCTTCCTTGCCACTGTGTCCAAAGTCCTGGATAAATCCATGTCAGGTTCCATGAGATCCTCGATGGTTTATAACCAGCACTGTTTTTTCCCAGCGTAGTCACCAGTGGGACCCTGCCAATGCAAATCCTCCCTGGATGTCCTTCCCACTCAGACATCTGCGCCTGCTTCATTTTCCATATTTATTTTCTCACAACTCATTTACTCCATACAACCTCCTGAAGGGCTTACACACATTCAGGCTTTCCCTCACCTCAGATGAATGTGTGAAGAAAAGAGAACGAGATCAGAAAGCTATGGGTGCAGTAAAGTGTTTTTAAAACCTATGGGATTTTTCTTCCCCAGCATTAAGATGAATCTCAGCTGACCTGTATCTGTCAGAAGTGCAGGCTCCTTACAGCAGCACCTGGCCTTCATGCTTGTTTTCTGGGCAGTAAAAAGCACATTGTTGGCATTTCAGTAGCTCCAAGCAATATAACCCTACAAAGGTAACCAGCTGAGAATAAATTTGGCCAAAAAACTTTAGAAGATTCTCATACTTCACTGCAAAATTAATTAGTCAACATCATCTATGAATGCAAAATACAAAGCAAATCATTATTTGCCTTTGTGTTTGAAACAAATTCTCGTGGTTTTAGATAATGGGGAAAAAAAAGGCAAGAAAGGCTTTTTTTAAACATTACATGTTTACGTGCAGATGCAAACCACTCGCTTCATTTATAATATATGTAGGTTTTCTGTGTGCCTTGGAGGAAGGAGGAAGAATTTAAGTTTCATCTCTTTTCATACGCTGCTCTAGCCAGAGGGATTCTGTGGCCTTGAAGCACTAATGAAACAATCTGCCCACTTTCCCCAAGGTAAGCATTAGATTACATTTCTTGCACAGAGGGACGTGATTGATGGACTGGCATGTTTATTAACTAGTTACCTATCTCGCTTGCCAGAAGCTGGGCAGAAGCGTAGTTGTTGAGCTGCTGAGCCTGAAGTTCAACTTTTTCAGTTCTTAGACCATTTCTCTGGCTTTATCACTCACCTTATCATTTTTCCCCAATTAATATACCCTTACATCAGTGGCTCTTATTAATATTTTCAGCTGAGCACTGACTTTGTACATCTTTGTACAATTTCATAGCTTTGTTCAATTTTAAATTGAACAGCTTCAGTTTAAGTTCCTACTGCCTGTTAGAGCAGTTGATCTACCACACCGTCAGTTGGGCTGATTTCCCATGGCAGCCCTTACGACAGGGACCAGGGGACAGGCCTGCACATCAGCTTCCCCTCTTCACAAAGCAGAAAATTCAAACCAACTTACAACGGTTTTTATGGCTTGAAAACACACATGTTCCACCTAGTAAACAGGCATGCTGAGGGTCCCATCCCCTACTACAGCCACATACTGCAGTCACAGTTCAAGCAGCTTAAAGCTTGAGTTAATCAGAGGACATAGGCCATCCTGTTAAAGCTGATTTGGAGATTTTGCAGAGAGCCCTGCAGGGAGAGGAGGCTCCTGCACCCTCTAGCACCCCTGTGGGTCCAGCTCCAGGGCTGGAACAAAGAGCGGGGTCTTCCAGCCTTCCTCCTCACTGTCGGGTGACCACATCTGATGCTCAGGGAGCGTGGGGTTCCCACATTGGTGCTCCCTATCTGCCCAAGGACTCTTTTTCTTAGAAAAAGCTTGACAGCTGTTTATTTAATAGGCAGTTAATTAAACTGTTAATTATAGGCAGTTCTGACTGTGTTTGAAGGGGAACAAGTTTAATAGAGACATATACCCAGCAATCCGTTTGATGAAGTCAAATACTACATCCGATACCACCTATGATGCCCCAAAAGTCTCACCTATTCCAGCAGTTTGTATTTAACCCATCCATCAAAAGTATCCGGAGGAAGTCCTGACTAGAAAAGAATTAGAATACAATAAACAAAAATACCTCTGGATTGAATGTGGTTATACTGGAGGCACTCCCTTTTCCCTCTGTCTTGCACTTATTTAGGAAACAGTTGGAAATAAGGTTTCCAGAAGCTGCACAATCTGATGCACTGTAATGGAGTATTTTGAATATATTTCATTAAATGAAATGCTAGAACTTGAACTGCCACAACTTGCCTGCACTTGTATCTTTCTAAAGAGAAATACAGTGTCACTTTCAAAGGAAATTAAGCTCCAGCCAGCTTTCTCACATTCTGTATGAAGATGTGGCAAATAAATAACTTTCCCTTTTTGAAACAACTTGTCACTACGATCTCTATGAAGACAAGTATAAAAAGAGAGCATGTATTGCACAGTGTATATATTGAATTGCTAGCCATCTGAGATGGTAACTGGTTCAATGAATGGGAATAAAAATGCTTTGTTCATAGGGCAGCATGGTCACAGATTTATTCTGCAAAGTCAGATAATGGTATGTACATGACCTAACAGTCACAACATTATGTCAGAAAGTTTTCAACTGTTTGAAAGTAAATAACTGGAAAGTAAGTAACTTTTTTATGCTGGGGATTAGCGCTAGCCCGAAGACATGCTTCCCCCCTTGCCATGTACAAAGCAACCAAACTAGGGCTGCTCTCCCATATTTTAGTGCCTGGGTTGGAAATGGGCTCTTCTGGTCCTGGCTTCATCCTTCACCCTCTCCATCAGAAACCTTCCCTAAGTGGTGGTGGGCAGTGTTCAGTCCCAGCCCCAGGGATAGCTGAAGGCAGCAGAGGGGCCTAGGCTGATCTTTTAGTATAGAGCACAACCAGGTAGCTTCAATGACAGAAAGAGGTCCCGACCCAAGGCTCAAAGCCCTGGAAATTTAGCAGCAATTGCTTGCAGCAATATTGCTTCATGCTGCAAAAGAGCTGTAAGAACTACAATTAAGTTTCTCCCTTTTCTTCCGAAACCCCATCTTTTAATCTACAATGAAAGTGACTTATGCACTGCATGGAACAGTCATCCCTGAATGGTTGGCCATTGCATGAAAAGTCCATTGGGATCTTAAGTGTCCTTCTTACAGTTCTCTCCACCCTCCTGGCTGCTGCAAGTTTTGCTTTTGCGGTATCAAAACTGAGACAAGAGATTTAGTACTCAAATCAGAAGGCATTTACCATAAAGAAGAATGCTCTGTTTACATGCACATACATTCTCATTTTTGATTTGCAGAAGGGGGTACATTTGCTGAGCTCTTGGGGAAGCAAATACTACCTACACACATTGAATAAGTGAATCTCTTTTCAAAGCAGCTGCCTTTTTCTTCCTGGTCCCATATGCAGTCACTAATGAAGAAAAGAATACGTATTTAAAGCAGAAAAGTATTATTTTAGAATGTTGTGAATAGTCTCTAGAGCTAGACAGATTTTAACATATATTTTTTTATTAAATATGTAAAAAGATAAACGCAAGTTATTCACATATTCAGACAAAAATCTACTCTACCATGCGACAATCTGTGGATAATGTAAAACGACTGATACATCCAAATAAGACTTTTTTGTATCTATTATGCCATTACTTATCTATTTATAATTAATACATATGTTTACATTCCTTTCGGTTTACATTTAATATATAACCAAAGCTTTATGGTGTGCTATTTAGTAAATGTAATTACAAATGCATATTAAAACCGTAACAGAAGAATGGGTTACTCACAGGGGGTGGGAGGAGAAGGACAACTCTTTCTCCTTTCAGAGCATCGCTCGCCACTCAGCACAGCCCAGTTTTCTAGTGCCCACAAGGTATCTTACCGCCCTGGCTCCCTATATCAGTCACTCCCCCCGCCTTGATACAAGCAGTGAGAGGGTGATGCTCTTTGGACCAGAAACAGGATATAAGGAATTTTCAGCAGATGAAGTTCAGCTTTTTAGGACTCTTACTATTGTTTAATATGTGCTCCAAAGAGAGAAAAGGAGAGGTGCACAACAGCCTGGCCATGAGCCCTCCAGGGAGCTCAGCAACCCCAACCATTCGCACCTTTAGAAATACATTTTATCTTCAAGTGCTCTCCATGCATCTGCTCAAGTATTAGCAGAAGGGTGAACTGCAGTAAGAGGAGACTGGTGCTGATGGAATTAAGCTTATAGACTGATCCCAAACTCCTTGCCCCATCAGAAATCCCACACAGGTTAAAGGAGTCTGGAAAAAAAAAAAATTAGTAACTGCTCTTCAACAGTATTATGAAGAACTACCGTTTATTACAATGACAATTGTAATAAGTACATATGTTCTAATAAACACAAATACAACAAAAATGACAATTCCCCCATTTGTGGTGATTCTTGGAAATACTTATTTTGGAATATACACATTTTTTTAGAAACCAGACCTTGCTTGTAACCAATCAAGAAAGGAAAGGAAAGCGCTGGCCAGCAGGTTGCAGTACTTCCACTTCATCGCTGGGTAGGACACGAGGCCAGCGCTGGAGACAAGGCTGGGAAACCTTCAGCCTGCGGGGTCCAGAAACTCTTCTGCTGAGCAGGGGGAGGATCAAGGATCTGGAAATACCTGTTCTAGTGCTTAGCAGTATTTTATACGTTGTCTGTGGTGCGACACACAACAGCAGGGTTCTCACATTTAGCCAAGAGCCACTTAGCTGCAGAAGATCGATTAGGAACAGAAAACTGCATGAGCATGTGTCTGTGTGCACCAGGGGGTTGATTAATTGAAAACCTCTCCGTGGAAGCGTAAAGCTGGAAACTTACGCATTAGGAGCCTATGAAGGTCTAACATGATTTAGCTGTTCATTACGCTTTGGAGTTTTCCAGTGACTGCTGATTGGGATGGGACTTCCATGTGCCTGCTAACTCAGTGTAACAATCCAGAGCTAGGAAAATCAAGTGAAAGACCAAGAATACCAAGCATTAAATATTCAGAGAGACTACAATGCACAGTTTTACAAGAAAAATACGGAATGCTTTGCATACTTCAAGATACCTCTGTTTATAAAATACCATCATTTAGAACAGGGCAATGGGACAGCACTGGAAGGGAACTCTCTGACTGCAGACATCTCCACGGCAGACATGGTTCTGCCCTGCACAGGCCTCACTGGAGGAGGGTTAGCCAAGCAAAGAACTGACTCTGTGTCCCTTGGTGAGCTGGGCCCCCTCTGATGTATACTCTGTCTCCAGTAGGAGCCCTCAACTGCCCCTCTGTGCTTCGTAAGCAGCCTCAACACCCATGAAGTGTCCACTACTCACTCACAGAGAGTTCAGAGGGCTCAAGGCCAGTGCTGTTGCTGGTCTTTCCCCATGCTTTACACCAGCAGGAAATTTCTGTCTTCCAACTCGTATGGCCAGGGCAGCAGAGCGGGAAGGACAGCAAGAAGAAACGGCTGGCCTACTTTGTCCTCTTCCAAGGGCTGGGAAGCCAAGTATGACAGCAGAGATCATGTCCTGCAGCTATACTTGTGTCAAGGAGATTTCTCACCTCCATCAGCATTGAGCTATGCAGAGGCAGAGCTGCAGCTGGAGGCTGGGACTGGATTTCTCAGGAAGGAAGAAAAGCTGGGAAGCATCTACTGACTAGTCAGGAAACTAGGAGGGTTTTCAAAAAACTCAAGTGGATGTCTGTTCCTCCAGAAATAAGCCAAAAAACATATCATGCAGCTTTCTAACAAGCTTTCTAACACAGGGGTTTAAATCTCTGCTAGTGAAACAGATGCTCTGCCTTGCATTTCGTGAAGGCAGGAAAGGAATAAACGTGAGCAACACGAGCATTCTCCTCCACAACACATCTCATTGTTATGGCTTGATTATGACTTCCTCTGTATCCCTTTATTCCAATTGTTTGACCGAATTTATGCCCCAAGGCAGACGTACTAGAAAACGCGAAAGCACCACAAAGTGAGAGACACAGCTAGTGGTACGGTACTTCTTGCCACACAAAATGCCAATATAAATATGTTAGAACAAGTTACAAGTGTATCATACTTAAGACAAAAAAAAAAAAAGAAAAAATAAATATATATACTTTTTTAAAGAGCAGAACAAATCTCAAGCAGCCAAGTGGTGAAGTTGCAGTGATGTACAGTAGGTGATGTAGCCCTACAACCTCTTGGGAAGATACACTGAAAGAAGACGTCTGCAAATGCATCTTGGCAAAGTATGGGTACAGAATGCAGTGGCTGGCTGGCACTCACTATGGTACATAAATGTTAATGGCAGACTGGGAGTGAACTGATTTCAAGTTTGAGGCCGCAGATGTTCCATTCTCCAGAAGAAAGTTCTCACACAAAACGAAAATTGTCAGAGCCGCTGGGTGAGTCAGTACTCCTCCTGCTGCTGGGGCTGTTCATGGACTTGCTCTTCACCTTCATGCTCTTCTGTGTGGCTCTCCTGCAGGGAGAAAAAAGGCCCCAAAACACTCTTCAACAGAAAGCATCCCTCCTGTAATCTTGCCCCGCAGTGCTCACCATCATAGCCTAAAGCTTAACTTCAAATCTTCGTGCAGTTAAGTACAAAATGAGCTGTTACCTGAGAAAAGCAGCATCTTGTAATATTACCATAACATGTATTCACTTTGCTTTTAATCAATGCACATGCAGTACTGATATTTCCCCAGAAAAAGTGTCAGTTTTCAACATCACTGTGGATTAACTGTTCTGGTAAGTGAACGTTTTGCATACCTAGACAGTGAGATGCTGTATCATAGCATCCTGGTGTCCTCCCATTTTCAGTTTGTCCAAGGATTTCTGGACCTGTCTGCTGTAGTTCTCATACAGTCTTTGATCTAGGTTTGTATCACTAAATGGAAAAGGCACTTTTGCTATTGCCTGCTTTAAAAATTAAACTCAGCCTCCTTTTTGAGGTAGGACATACTACTTTCCCAAAATAATATACCCATGCTAATACAGACTGGATTTCAAAGGTTATCAAAACAGTGGGTTTTAGCTATTTCCAGAAAATGTGACCAACAAGTTGCAAACACATTTTCGGGGGGGGGGGGGGGGGAATAGTCAGTATTCAGTGATTTATAGAGCTACTGCTGAAAGCACTAATCAGTAATAAACATGTCCCTTGTGCAAATGTTACGCACAGTATTTTCCAGAGCTGTGTCTCTGGATATACAGTTGCATTAGGAGAAGAATCCTTGACTGAAGGGAAGACTGGATCCTCACTGATACCCATTTCAAACAACTTCTAAATTAGAGACAATAGACCTGGTATCTTGACTTGACCTGTATGTTATCAGAGCTCAAGATGTCTGGCTGACTTCTGGATTCCCATCAAGCACAGCTCCATTTACAGCTTTCTTTTCTCAAGTGGCTTCCATCTTTTCAGCGCACTGTGCACTGAAAATATCCCCCACATGTACTCCGCCTTGTGTTAGTAGACAGCTCCAAAGGAAAACTTTTCCAAGACATTGAGCTGCCATTCAAGCTGCAGCACCCCTGATGTGTTACCTCTGTGGAACTTGCCTGGCACCCAGCAATTTTCTTTAGGAGCAAGCAACTTGAACAGCAAACTTCAAAAATGCATGCTGCCAAGTTTCAAATCTGAGGCAAAAGTTAAAGGAAAAGGGAGGCCATAATCTGCATTTTCTCAGAATAGTTCAGAGCAGCTTACGCAGTAAAAAAAATTCCCTTCTGGAAGAAAACCTTTCTAAAGGGCAAGAGCAGAAGAAGGTTCCTAACATTTGCTGATACAATGGAAGTACTCCACTGTTTACTGCACAAAAGCAGCCAAATTTCAATTGAAAGCAAGGTTTCTGTCACTCAGGTGCTATTTTCAGGTAGAAGCCATGCATGTCAATCAGCACAGCTGCAGTTTAGCACCTTACATCTTCTTGGGGGAATGATGTCCTTAGTATTCACGGTACACACATCATGTCAAAACCGCTTTTTGCATAGTACCTAAAAATCACTTCTGTGACGGGATGCAAGGGCACAGGAACTTTACAGAGAGAAGCTGACATCTGTGAGATGTCATCACAGCCTTATGGGGTGAGAAAACTGAAGCTTGTTTAGCCACAGCAAACTATGTCCCTGTGTCTCCTGTCCCTCCTTATGTGGTGAGGTGACCAGCTCTGAAAAGCAGTTGTTCCATAAGCTCTGTGTGCAGAGTCTGAGATAAACCTATTAGAAAGCCCACTCATGCAGACTTTACAGGTCATGTATATGCTATGTTTTCATGCGTATAATAGGAAAAGCCTATTATGGGAGTGGTTTGGGAACCTACTCTGCAGCTCTGAAGAGTGATGGCTCCTCTTTAGCCAGGCTTACCTTTGATGGAAATGGTAAATCTTAATGGGACTACCTCAGAGGTTGTTCTGAGGCTCAGACATGTGCTTTTCAGTATGTACAGCTTGTATAAATATATGAAATGGGAAAGACAAGAGTCACTACGTTCAATTACCTTGGGACTATGGAATCTCCCTGAATAGCATCCCCTAATAAGGAAAGCAGTGGAAGATCTATTTAGAACATTTATTTCTGGCCTGGATCACACAACCATGGCCATCTCAGTCTCCCACAACGAGATGTGCTCTCTTTTGACCATTCAATCCATCTGCCTCAAGGTATTCAGGTGTGCCTCTAACTGGAAGAGCTAGACTTAACAAAAACCAGCTGCTGGTGGTGGGGGTGCCTTTTCCAAAAGCAGCAGCAGCAGATGTAGTAGCTGCTAGAGCAGAAAGATACAAAACCAACTGCATTTTGAACAATTGCTTCAAAGCAACTGATGGGTGGATTGCTGACCTTTGATCTAACTCCTGCCTGAACTCAGCCAGGATAGCCTATATAGGAAATCAAAAGCTTCCCATTCATTTCTGCTTTATGCAAGACCTACATGGCTCTGGGTTTCATAACTAGACACGTAGCCTCTTCTGGTTCATCAGTTTGAAGCTCTCCTACTGTAAGATCATATCACCAAATGCTTTACTTACTATCTGAGGTCCCAGTGCTGTCTATAGCAGTCACAGCATGAGTGGTAAGGGCCAACATCTCCCCACCACCCAAATGCATCATTTTTTTAACACTGTTCTCTGTCAACTTCGATGTTTTTGATGAGGTAGGATTACAAACAAGCAATTTGCAATTAAAAATTATGAAGTATTGCAGACTGATCAGCCAAATGTTAAATGGCCCTAGCAGGTAACAACATCCCTCTTACATAACCAGAGACATAACGATGAGGTTTAAAACATAACCACAACAGGGTAAAGGGAGCCTCTAAAGACAAGGAACCCAAATAGACTGATATTTGTGCTGTATGACTCAAAACCTCATCAAAACCAAGACACTCTCCCCCCACCAAAAAAAAAAAAAAAAAATTAGATCAGTCTTAATTCAGCATATACTGAATTAAACAAAGCAGAAGGTTATGAAGTGACATAGTTGAAACTACACTATGACTTGGAATTCTGCAAAAAAAAATAGCCCATCCCACAACATGAACATGATAAAAATCTCTTCAATGCTCAATACTATAATTCTCAAACCTCTGCAGAAAGCTTTTTATAGGGCCTAAACTCTGTACCTGCATTCTGAATAATTCTATGCAGAATTCACCTGACAGCCTACAATGCTCATGGGGTACCTATGAGTTACTAGGAGGTGTGACTACTTCAAGTGCTGTCCAGACATCTTTTTCATACTCTTTTTCTTTTAGGAGGATTAAATTAAGCTTAACTGAAAACTAAGTATAAATTGTCCCTTCCAAATAACAAGTTGGTATGAAAGATAGGACATGACCTCTGTGCCATGTCAAATACAGTAGATGCTAGGAAGGAAGAGTTCAAGACTGCCATCAGGCAGTTATCTGAAGTATAAACTGAAAACAAAGCTAGTCACAATCTTCAAGCACAAGGCCTTGGTCAGGGATCACTTGTGCAGTATGCGAGAGCTGCATTCTGGTGCATTCCCTTCCTGAAGAAAAGCCTCATGGCCACAGTATCATTTATAAATGTCACAAATCCTGAGAACTAATGTAATCTTTTTTCCACTTTGCCTCCATATACTTGAGAGACTTTAAAACAGATAAAAAGAAAAATCTAAGCCAGATTTACAATGAACTCACTAGCAAGAAACTGGGAATGCTGAAGTTGTCTGTGGTTAGGAATTGGGGCTATGTCCAATCTGCAGACTGGGAAAGCCAAACTGCTGCTACTGATGGATTAACCTGCAAAATGCTGCAAGATATAGAATTTAACTCAGGAACAAGTCATTACAGAAAGGTGGAAAAACAGAACTGAAGGGCAAAACAGGACATTGAGGTAGCAAAGTCCAAGAACAAAAGGTAGGCAGGATCTGCATCACCAAGGGAACCAGTGTCTTTGATTTAACACTAAGGCACTGGGGTCTTTCCTCAGCAAATTATGGTCTATCTGCTAAGCTGAGGAGGAAATGCACCCCACAAGATGAGGAGATCAAGTCTCCCACTAAAAGGTAACAAAAAAACTGAGCTGGGAATGGCCTCTGTATTATTCTCTGAGGGAGCAGTGCTCTCCTGATGGAGTAATGTACCTGGCCTCCAAATGCAAACATGCTTCAGATAAAGGCACAGTTGTTATATGTAGTTCATGTGCAGGCAAGGATGATGCTAACAACAGAGAAAGGCTTGGAGGGAGGAAGCAGATAAAACACTGGGATGTGGACAGAAGTAGAACATTTTGTAATGTGTTCTGCCAGTAAGGAAAACTGCAGGAAGAAAAGCAACAAATGCATTCCTTGGCACGGAATCACTTGCTATTTAAGCCAGACAGACAGATGTGGTAGGGGTATGGGGAGAAGAGGGATTTTTCTGGCTTTGCTTTATAAATAAATCACTGTTCTTGAATCCAGAAGACATTTTCTCTGACCACTATATGTATGTAACTCTTTTAGCCTGTTATCACGTGCTTGGCAAATTTGTCTTATTGTTTATTCCTGTGAAAATAATGGTTTCCTCCTCCTTTTCCTCTTTAACACTCACCCCACACTGTTGACCTCTTTCCCCTGTCACTTCCCATCTGAGCAGTGGCTCAGATGCCAGTGCCCCTGTCAGTGGCAAGCTTGTGTCCCTCTTGCACCTCACTTTCATTTATGCTGTACTAGTCTTTTAGAAAAGCATGTGAGTTAGTGGTTCCTGCAGCACTACTTTTGATGCAAAATCTGAAGTCTGATGACCACTGCTGCAACAGCTTTCTGGGAACAGATGTAAGACAGCCTACAATACCACAGTGCTGTCAAGAGATTAAGTTGATGCTCAAACACTCTGGAGCCAAAGCCATCATTCACTAGACACCGAAGGGTCAATCGTCAGTACAATGCATAGAGGGATTTAGTTCACATGAATGGGAGCAGTTCAGCTAAAACTCCACTGAATCATTATCCCTGCATGTATCTGAAGAATTTAACCAGCACCCTTTGCAGCTTCTTGTTCAGTGTCTACAGCACTAAGTCTAAGATGCAATGAGATTGTTGTTTACTCTTGCAGACAATACATTTCTGAAGTTTCGATAATAGAGGATTATCGGGCTTGCACAAGGAAGAATTTTGCTTATAGCAACAGGATAGAAGAAATACTAAAGAGCATTATCTCTGCAGATATAATTACGTATTTGGCAGTCTGTATCGTACGTATTACAACACCGCCACATGGGCTACAGAAGGTTCACAGCTGCAGACACTGAACAGCACCTCTGTCAGAATTTCTGTGATTTTCAACATGTTGAAGAACATGAGTAAAAGACTTTATGCAGAAAGGCAGAAGACAAAACCACAAAATTAAGGCTCAGAACCATATGAAACCAATTTAAAGTTGTGACACACTCCCTCCTCTTTCAGATCAGCTTCAGCAAACCTAGAATACAAAATCTACACTGAAAGCAGCAAAAAGCAACCAGCCTCCTGAATCCCTTCTCCAAGTAGAAAAGTCAGTTGCTTCAAATGCCAACTTCCTTTACAGGGGATGGGGTATGGAAATCCAGCTGCTACAGTTCTGCTCACCAAAGTATAGGACATGACTCAATACTGTGACAATAAATCATGAAATTTGTCTAAATAAAATGCATTAAGCTTGAACTTACATGTTCTTCTGAAGCATAAAGGACTTCCATTAGCCGATTCACAAGGTCATTATTCTCTCCCCCGTGTTCTTGGCAGAGAAGTTCAATCTCCCTTAATTTGCCAAAGTAGAAATCCCTTTCCTTCTCCACTCCTTCAAGTGCAAGTTTTAATGAATGTACCTGCAGATGAACCAAGACGTGATGCGTCAGCTGAGGTGCACTAAAGACAAAATAACTCGGTCTACAATTACGCGTGCTGAACAATCTTAAACATATATTCAATATTACAGCTTAAAATGAAGTCACTTTTTTCCTCAAGTGCTAGATTGAACCCTACATGATAGAAAATAGTAAACCAGGCTCCCCCATTGCACCTCTTAGATACATCTTAACCTTGATCCTTAAAGGTCAGTTTTCTTGGTGCCTTTTTTCACTGAAACCTCAAAGCAGCAGTTCAGGGATCACAGCTACTAGCTATTCTATGATTCTAAGTTCAGTCTCCTAACAAGGCTGCCAGAAGTGTCATCTGATGGCAATTAATTAAACTTCCAGCTCAGTACTTGCATTATTTTGCTGGATTAATGTGTAGTTGTTGGGAAACCTACAATATTCTCCTCACCTAATAGATCTAGCAGAAAAGCTTACTAACGGAAACAGTCTAGTTAGGAAACTAAAGGTCCTCTAGTTGCAAATGTGAGTAGTGCTGCGCTGTTTTTTCACCTCTCCTTTTCTGCCCCCCACTTACTATACTGTTACAGACCCATGTTTTGGCACTCTGATGCTGTGACTGGCTGCACCACAAACATTATGATCTGATTCTCTCAAATGCCAAGTAACTTTCTCTTTGCAGCCTTGCTCATAAGTCTTTAAGCTATGCTGTCAGTCCCAATTTCACCACTAGGACTACCACAGATCATTTATGGGCAACATAGCTGTTAATGAAGCCTCATCATTCATGAAAGATGTTGCAATATATTTTTATACATACATATATATTTACACATATTTAAAGAACAATTTTGTGGGAGCATAATAGATAAATTACTGTCCATCAGAGTACACACAATCAGGATAATGTAAGTGGCTTGCAAATTCAGGGGACAGCAATGTAACAACCAACTGAAATAATCACAGATGAAACTGTCTACAGTAAATAGACTGACCCCAATCACATCCAAATTACAGCCAAATTAACATCCACATTTTGAGGCCTGCAATTATACAAACGATTTTCTAAATAAAACATGCTAAACAAATGCAATCTCATCAGACTACATTTCAGTGAACTGATACCATTTAATAGAATGTTCTGTGTTGCCTGTTTTACTGCAAGCTGATTTATTTCCTTCACTAGTGAAAATACCAGCAGGGTTCAAACAATGCTTTGACAGCCTACTAAATCCTATCAGTTCACTTCTCCATAACTGCTGAGCTGGCAAAGCCTTTTTCTGACCTTTGATTGCACTCTCAGAGGTGTCAGACAGCAGAACTAACCTGTTATCAGGACAGGATCTCAGAACATCAAATTCATGCACTGACCCATTTCTGACAGGTCGCCTGAGTGTGACACCCAAATCTTCCCTTAGCAGTTTGAATCTATGGTTGATGCAACGACCAGTCACCTTAAAATTAACCATTTCTTCATGAAAGTAGGAATAGCAAAATGGAACAAGAGTTTACAACATTTTGGCCTATAGATGAAGACCTCACGTTTAAGACACGTCTTCTGGATCTGCAGCAGCATATTCGTTGAGAGCAATGCCTGCATCCAAGCAGAACAAGAACGTAACTGCTTCCAGATCTTTTACTCTGTTCTTGCTAGAGTTTGGGAAACAATGAACTTCAGCTGAAACACTGGCAGCTAATTGCTCAGACTATCTCCACTTCTGATTTACATACTATGAAGGCATTCTCCTGTTTTCATTCTATCACATTCACTTCATTTTAAGAAACAGAATCATTAAACTATGCATATATGCACACAGTTAATTAGCTAAGTGTATAGTAAATATTGTTATAACCAGTGCAGATATGTTTTTCTTCAGTTACATATCTGTCTGTGATGGATTAATTTGTTTTTCTTCAGATACATAGCATATCCACACCCTACGTTTTGCTTCTATGAACATGCCAAAAAAATTGATCCTATATAAGGAACAGTACATGTTGATTCCCATGCTCTGTTTCTGGACCAGAAGTACTTTTCTGCAATCCAGTTAACTGGTGCAAAGGCAGCAGCTCTACTAACTGGTCTTTTCTCCGATTGCTCTTGTTGGTAGTATGAAACTCACAGGGCTGCAGAACCAGGCTGAAGATTAAGCACATCCTGTAGACATGCAATCAAGTTGGAGATGTTTTCAGAAACTATTTGCATGCTATCACACAGTTAACAGTTCTTAGGACCATTCTCCATACATAGATGTCCCTTCTCCATATGTAAATATCCCCTCTCCATACATAAAGGTCCCTGGTCTTTGTCATCTCCTCAGCTGTACTCAGAAAAACTCTTTGGGAAACTGTTAGTTGGCACAGACCAAAACCACGGCAGGAACCACTTTAGTATTTTAATGCTATGGGTAATCAAGCTTTAGTGCACAGTGACATTCTTTGGAAGCATTCAATTCACTAGCACAGACATCCCCACTACTTAAATTTTTCCATTACAAATTGCATGGGAGTTCAGATGTTTCACTGTCCCTTAGCTGCCATTCATGAAAGGGCTGAACAAAGAGTCTGTTACAGCCATATAGGAATTTGAAGCCCACAGGCACCATTCAATGTTTCTTATTCATAATCAAGACAGCAACTTGGTAAAAATCAAGACAGCAACTGGGTAGAAGTGGCTGTTGCCCTCATCTCCCTGTTGCTGGAGAGTGGTTAAAAATGGGCAATTTGTCTTGCAGCATGTTCAGACTGGGGGTCAGAAAAACGTGGCTCAGAGCTGCTTGCAGCATACTTTTTATGGCTCCTGTTATATGCCCAGGGTGCACAAGTAACCATTAGTGGGAAATGAGATCCCAAAGGCTGCCAGCATTAAAAAGCCTTCCAGACCATTCTAGCTAGAAGAGGTCTCTTAAAAACTAGCTATTAAAACACCAACTTTCCAAATCCACAAAATTTCTTCTCCTCTTTGGTGATGGGAGAAATCATCAGTTTTCCTCTGGGTTGTTTGTATATAGGGCTTAAGGTTTTCACACATGGAATGTGTTAGGAATACATTAGCAGTGGATGTGATAGTGACTGCCTATTTTAGTAAAGATCAAATATTTTGCTGTTGTTCAGATCCAAACCAACCCTTCCTTCTGAAGCAAACTCATTCTGACTTCTGAGTACAAATGTCATGGTTTAAGGTACATCAAAACTGACGTTTCAACTCCACTCTTACATTGATTAGAAAGAAAAAAAGCTTCCATGAAACATACATACATCCATTCCTTGTGCAACATTCCAAAACTTTTTTGTTACAGCAACAATCAAAAGCCCATTTGAAAGGCTGGTGGCCCCTGTTGTGTTCTCTGCTGTTCAGAATTTCACCCCGAATCCACAGGATGCTGTGTTTGGGATGTGGCTATCCATCCACCACCTTTCGGTGTGCAACAGTAACCAAGAATTTGCAAATGATGCCTCAAAAAAACTGAAATCTTTGTTGTTTGGTTCAATGAAACTCTGAAACTGAAACGCCCTTAATTGTGGAAAATTACACTTGATCCAGAGTAATGACTTCTTCCTGAATGCAGCTGCCAGGCAGCTCAGACTCTAAAATGGGAGGTTTTTCCTTTCCATTTTCCCTCATCCAGGACAAATACAGGGATCAGGCCTCATTTATACCATTCCAACATCACAGTCTTGGGCCAGATGCATTTATTCATGCCCAATGCAGACGCAGTTGCATGTCCAGGAATGACACAGTGGTGTAAAGCTCCATAGCATAAATGAAATCTAAGCCCTTGCATTCCAATATTAAAGAAATTTTGAAGCTTTATTAGTTATAGTGTTCTGCAATATTATTAAGTATTCTGACAAAAGCAGATCACATTTTTAAATTAAAAAGGCCTATTATGTTCTTAATGCCTTCCTTGCACAAAGCAGAGTGCAATGAACTAGTCTTGATTCAGCTGTAAATCTCTGACACACTGATATTATAAACAGGCTTATTTTCTCCACAATGACACATGGAGATGATTTATTTCAAATTTGTAATACACAAGAGCAAAGGCTATGGGGCTTTTCCTATCTGAGTGAAAGAAAAGACACATTTCTACATCTAATAACTTCAGCAGGACTCACCTGTCATTCCTAAGATGACCTTTTGAAAATCCTGGCAAACACCAGGCGTCTCTGTCAGATGTTATTTTTAACAATAAATCACTTTTATTTTTTTACCTTCCCAGCTGAGCTGTTTCAATCTTTTGTCCCCGTATAATTGTGGAGAGCATCATTCAACAGAGGGCAATATATTTCGTGCCTGCCTGTGACACTGAGTGCATCTAATCTTATGCCGAAAGCAAATTTACCTGTTCGCTGAGCTGTATGACTTGGGTTTCCAAATCTTTATCTGATTTTGATGCTGAGCTGCTTGGTGCAGCTTTTTTTGCTGAAGATGGGCGAGAAGGTGTTGATCCTGGTTTAGAAGCTGGACTGGATTTAGCAGCACCTGAAAAATGCAATAAATAATAATTAAGATTTCTCTTCATGATAAATATATTCCTATTAACCTGATACTGAAACAGAAGCATTCATTTTACAGGCAGCCATTCAATCTCTCACTTCAAGGTGACAGTGGAGGAAGCCCCAATGCTGCTATACAGAAAGGAAAAAACACATTTCCTAGCAGTTTAAGTTTGCTGCTGAGAGTGAAGTGACTCTGAAACCAAAATAAACAAACATATATCAAGTTCCCTTATAGGTCTCAGCAGCTTTCAGGTTTTAAAAAAAATTCTACCATTAACAGACCATTCCTCCTGCCCCGTATTTACTGTATATCTATACCTATCTTCAATTTCCCTGGAGAAAGATAGACCTGAAAAACCCAGCTAGAGTGTCTCAGTTTCCCTCATTTTCACATGTAAAATATCCCTGAGACATAGGTATTGAAATTCAGACAGAGCATGCAGAAATTAAACCCATCGGTGAACTCACGGTTGCCATAGTGACCAAGAGATGAGTTTTGATCTGCTTAGGTTTTGGTGTTTGTTTTTAATTACTCGCACTGCAAATCTGCTAGAATATGGAGCAACATCTTTATTAGCAAAAGTGGCAAGTAACAAATGCCTACAGGTATGCTTTTTCACAATGCTTGTGGCATACAAATGCCCAAACAGAGGAATAGTTGTGTGAAAGGATATCCAGTGCCTTCATATGAACCTCACACACATCTCCAGGCGCTTTGCTCCGCCTCTCCATCTTTCCTCTCCTTGTCACTGTCTTTTTGATTTAGTGCTCAACCCTGGTACACAAGTGCCTAACCCACTGCTCTTGACCTTGCCTAGGTTCCCATGAGCACTGCAATCTGCCTCTTCCTAATCCCCTCCAACTAGGAATAAATTTCAGATGCAGTAGACATACATCTGGTACAAAAACTGCTTGGGTTAAAATGACAGAACAGAAACCCAGCCCCCTCTCAAACCTATTTTGATTTATAAAGCATGCATGTGAATCACAAGTCATGCTCTGCAGCACCCACATTTATCACTTTTTATTCAATGGCTCTAACCTGAAAAAAGGTAGATTTAGATTAGATACTAGGAAGAAATTATTTCCTGTATAGGTGGTGAGGCACTGGCACAGGTTGCCCAGAGAAGCTGTGGATACCCCATCTCCTAATTGTTCAAGGCCAGATTGGACGTAGCTTGGAGCAACCTGGTCTAGTGGGAGGTGTTCCTGCCCATGGCAGGGGGGCTGGAACTGGATGAGCTTTAAGGTCCTTTCCAACTCAAGCCGTTCTATGATTCTTACAAAAACCAAAGTACAATTGTCCGGACATGCTGATGGGCTCCATGGACATCTTCCACCATTGAATGCTATTGGCTCTGAAGCCAGGGACACACAGGGTGTGGGAAAAAGCCCAAATCCAGCAAGCACCCAACTCCCAGCTGAGCTCTAGCTTGAAAGTCACCAGTTCCGGAGGGATTTGCCCCAGCTTTCTCAGCAGTCACCTTCCACCCTACACCTCACCAGCTGCTCCTCCCGCACAATTACTTGATTTACAGCATGCTACAAATCATTCTAAGTTGTCATTTCCACATTGTATCCACAGCATCAGACAACATTTTAATAAAACAATTTATTGTAAACCCAATGCTTTACAAAGGCATTACTAGGAAGAAATCACAAGGAGGCAGGGAAAGGCAAAGAGAGGGAGAGACACAACTTGTGGGCCTGTTCATATTATCTAACTGTGGAACTCACACCGTCTCACTGACCTAGAACTGTGTACTGTGATCCTTTGGAGGAGCTGAAAAGTGATGGGAAAAGAGAGCAGCAATGGGTTATTTAATCAAGCTCACTTGAGCTTTCCTGATTTAGTCACAGGCCTCTCTCTGTAACAAGCATCTTCTCCTGCCTTTAAGGATAATTCTATATTAACTGGGTCATCTAATGCCAACGGAACACAAAACCAATTTGGTAATTCAGTTAGCATGAGCAAACGTTTCTATGCAAGATACCCATCCTCCTTTTCCATGTTCTTCAATGCAAGACACTTTATTTTAAGGAATTCGTGACTCCAATAGTTTCCATGCCTAATTGCACACACAAACTCGCTTCTAGCAGATTTCAGATGCAGTACATGGACTTTCTGTACTATTAGGAAATTAGGAAAATTCGATGTTGTGTATATACCTGAAATTAAACTGCTTTTCACATCATACTTAGATCAGCAAAGTTAATTTGCGGAAAAAACATTAAAAATGTCAAGATATTTTGCTGCTATATCTTTCTTTAGGCCATTTCATAAACTTTAGCACCCTGCCTTCAACACTTTCCAGGTTCAGTCCAGATTTTGACTAACTAAAAATCAGTTGCTTCACAGCAGGATTAAGACACTCTTAAAGCCAGGAAAGTAATTTGCATTTGGATTAGCAAATGAACAGAAAAAAACCTGGTGTCAAAATATGCATGATAAACACACACAAAATAATCACTCTGACTACAGCATTCTAGTTTAGTCTCAAGTTATTTAATTACTACTTGTAATGTGCAACTGCAACAGTTACCTATACATCATTCGATATATATGTATACTAAACCAAGGTATTAACACTTACTATTGTATTCTACACCTACAAGGTGCAGCTCAAGATAACAACTGAATATTAAATGTTAAAAAGCAAGCTATGGACCTTCAGATGTGAAACCCTGGCTGGTCAGTGCATCTCCGCCTATACCAACTACCCTTCCTCTACCTGAAGGCAGCACTGGACTTTGCCTAGGCAGCAAGCACCTCCACACAAGCATAGAAGAAGCTGTTCAGCTTTTCTAGGGCAGTATCCCCCACCCTTTTAGCTCCTCACCATTTCTGCCAGGGGGTCACGGTGCAAGACCTACGGCAAGGCACATTGTGCAGCCATGGCTTGTTGCTCCCTTTCATGCTCAATAGTCCTGTGAAGCAAGCAAGCTCTTTGAGGGTTTGGATTCTGATCACAGAAAGCCATATCATTAAGTACACACCTCTTTTTAACCTGCAGAGAAAGTTAAGGACAAAGTAGGCACAAACATTTAATCCCTAGGTATTCTCTCTTATTTGCAGCTGAGGTGCCCGCCCCCCAGCGTGCGCTGAGAAAGCGCACATCACCACTGTCTGCAGACAGGGAGGGCTGGATAGCACCAATACACTGAATTACATTCTGCCTTTCTTTGAAAACAACAAAGCCTTTCGAATTTCTAAACCAAATTGTTACTAAGCTTTATTATGTCCAGACAAATCAAAGAAATTGACTTTTGTTCCGCTGCTCAGGATCAGCTCTTAAATGAACACAATATCCCCATTTCAGTACCAGATTTAAACCAGCTAACCTGAGCATTTCAGACTGTATCAGCAACAGCTGGATAGAACTTAATTGCAACAGAGGATGCCTTGGGATTTCTAATCTAAAATTTCCTGGAGGAAATAAAAAAAAAGCAGCTTTACTGCACATTTATTCTGAAACATCAGTTTTAGAATCAGCTCAGAGGTAAGCCTCCCATTCTAACAGAAGCTTAATTTCATAAAAGAATTAAAGGATCCTGTTTGGCAGAGTAGTGCAAAGTGCTTGAGACAGCCAGATATCTAAACGGAGATGAAAGATCTTGGCAGACTTAATGACTTTGCTATCAAGCACCACAGTGTCTTTGCAGTAAATTACTGCAATTGTGGAATAACTCCTCATGCATTGCTCAGAGGGGCTATATAATCTGCATAGTTTTAATTCTGTCCAATATCATATCTTCTATGAAAATATTTATATATAACCCATTTATGTATTTTGACAAAGCACAACATTTTATGCAAATATTTTACATTGAAAATACCTGGTAACCAGCTCTTCACTGACCACTAAGAGACATACATTGCAATCAGCACCATAAACATGACCCATTACCAATTCATTTTCAAGCTTGCTGTTGATGTTCAAAAAGAAGTGTGGAGCCCTGCCACAGAGGGGAACAGACCCATGCCCCAGAACATGCTGGCAGCCAACAGCCTGGAAAGCAGTGCGGCAGAAAGGGACTTAGGGGTCCTCGTGGACACCAAATTAAGCATGAGCTAAGCACCCCTGCAGCAAAGGCAGCTGACAGCCTCCTGGGCTTCACTTGGAAGAGCACTGCTATCAGGTTGAGGGAGGTGACTGTCCCCCTCTACTCAGCACTGAGGAGGTACATCTGGAGTGCTGGGTCCAGTAGAAGAGAGACATGGGCATACTGGAAAGAGTTCAACAAAAGGCCATGAAGATGACTGAGGGATAGGAGCACCTCACATATATGGAACAGCTGAGAGAGCTGCGTCTGTTCAGCCTGGACAAGAGAAGCTTCGGGGGGATTTTATCCATATCTGAAGGGAGGGTGCAAAGAAGATGAGGACAGGCTCTTTTCAGTGGTCCCTATTAAAGAGCAAAAGGCAATGGGCATAAAATTGAAATACAATAAATTTCATTGAAACATAAGAACAAGCTTTCTCACTCTGATCAAATACTGAAACAAGTTGTCCAGAGGGATTGGGGGGGTCTCCATCCTTGGAGATACTCAAAACTTGACTGGATATGGTCCTGGGCAACTGGATCTAGGTGACCTTGCTTTGAGCAGAGTGGTTGGCCTCGGCGATCTCAGAGGCTGCTGTCCCACTTCCACTGTTCTGTGAGAACTCTGCTACTGCATGTTCCGATTTTACATCAATTCAGGGTCCAATTAGAAGGTTTTGTAAATAACCGCTTCAATTAGCACCTGGATAACTTTTTGTACATAACATTTTGCCCATATAACACTACCAGAGATGGGAAAAATACATTCACAGTTGAAAGACAAAATAATTTGTTCTTGTACTGATATAAATTAGATGAACCAGCTTTGAAATGCATTACAGGTTTCTATCTGTGGTGCTCCAGAAACAATCACTAGTCAGTCCATCATAATCAAGTATATGCCCTCATAGTTTCAGCTTCACAATTTTTTGCTAAAGAC